ATTAGGTGAGCTTCAAATATTCCTGTGCGATACGTGTGAAAGATTTTCTAATGAAATGTTTTCTTTCCAGTTTCCATATTCATTTCTTAGTCCTAAATGTATTAGGTGCAATTCAAAAAGCCTCTGCAGTTATGTAAAAAGGATGAATGCCTGTTTGTATGATCTGCTTATCTAGGTCTGGGAGGTGTTAGCATGTCATGTGACCATCCTAGGTCCAAAACAGGCCTCCATTTGGGACTAAGGTAACCTTCTGTCACCAACAACTCTATCATGCAAGCTGCTTACCAGAAGCTTAACTGTACCTTCTTGATACTTGGACAAATTCAAAGCCTTAAAATGTGCCTGGGAAAATGTGTCCCTTGCGTGAACTCTGACTTAGTCTGTTGTAATCTTTATTCTTCCCATGAAACCAGAAAGAGGATGGGAAAAGGTCTCAGACAAGTGGGCGTGGATAACCCCTCCCAATGCTGCCATCATGCCCAAACACTGAACGATGGTGCCAACACTGATTGCACTACTGTGAATTGATAAATTACAACAGGAAATTGCAGCAGGGAGGAGTGCTGAGAAAGTAAGCAATTTAAAACTCTTTCAATTGTCCCCAACCCTGTACTGTTTGCACACAGTGTGTGTGTGTGTGTGTGTGCAAGATTATATTATATATATATGGAGGGTGGGAGGGAGGGAGACTCAAAAAAAGGACATGACTAAATTAACAATGCCTTGGAAACATAATCAGTGTGTGATTAAAGTTAAGAAAACAATTGACCTTTTCCATACCAAATGCAACAACTGAGAAGAATGTAGATTTACATTGAATAACCACAATTCAGTGCTGACTTTATGTGCTGCCATACTATTCTGGTGAATCAACTTTTCTTAAGAATTTGATTCGAAAACTGAAACCAGCATTAATAAGACATCTTGGTGGCTATCCAACATAAATTATTTGTTTGATAGTATTCTCTCTTTCCTTCAGGAGTTCTAGACAATATATTTGACAAACTGTCTTCCACTTTTCCCCACCGCAACATTGTAAAGTCCCAGCTCAACATCTTAACCAGTACACCCTATTACTCTACATACATTTGCAATGGATATTTCAGTATTTCAATGCTTCATTGTTTCTACAGTTAATAAAATATTTATGCAATGAAATATTTAACAGCATAAAGTATATTTAGTTTTCTTTGTTTTACACCCATATGCCGCAAGAATCAGGACACAGCACAAAATCCATTAGAGTACTTTAAAGGTAACGTACTCAAGGCTATTTGCCTTGGACCAAAAACCCAAAGCTAAACTCAGCTGAAAAACTGAGTGGGCATTTTGGGTCATTCAAAGTGTATGTCTCCAAGACATACAAGACAAAAATTGCAATTAGCAATGCAATTAGCAATTTGCAAGCCATTACTTTAACCTGCTGTCATGTACAGTTCTTGAATTAAATCTTAGGTTTACCACTTTGGTTAGTAATCCCAGAACAACTGCGATTTTGCACTTAAGAGACATTAACATTTGGAATTAGTTTGCTACAGATTTGAAATTCTATTGTCTTTAAACCCCATCAGCAGCCACTTGGCTATAGACAAGAATAAGATTTGGAATTGGGGAAGATGTATTTTTAAGTCAGTTTGGATGTATTTTTAAGTCAGTGGGGTGATGTGTTTCAAATGTGAAAAAGTCACAATTGTTGGCAATATTTTTTTCAGAACTGGCTTGTTATTATCTTCTTCAAAGTTTGAAAAGGAGTTACTGACTGGCTTTGCATCTAAGGCAGATTTAGGAATCCCAAACTCCTGGTTTCTAGTTCAGTGCTTCAAACGCTGTAAGACCTGGGATAAACAACCTAATATGCATAGGCATCCATTCCTTATCACAATGATGAAATGATGAAACTTATCATGACATCACTACGCAAGCTTCAACATCACAATATCACACACAATATCCTAAGGAATGACGTTTGCATCGTGACATGCATTTTTAATCATTAATCCTAATTCCCTCTTGCTCCCCAGGAGATTTCTTTACCCATATAATGAACACACAATAGAACTAAAAAATCATATGCTTACTTTTTGCTTAGCCATTGTTCTTAACCCAGCATAATTTAAAGAGGTATTATGTTGTAAGAATAATACCTCAAACTCTGGAGGAAAGATGCAGCATGAATTTAGAAATCTAGGCCCATCTTTTTTTTCTACTCTTTTTCATTGTATTCATTATGTCAAACAACTATCACAAGGACTGACTTTAGTTTGTTCTGAATGAAAGCATCTTGTTACTAAAGTAGAACTATGCAAACTTATTTGAGTCAAATATAACATTTGGACTTGAACTGATATGCCAAGCACCATACTTCAAGAGTTGCAAGAAACAGGTGAAACAAATACCAATAACTCAATTTGATTACAATCCAATTTAATTATAATGAATGAATTATATTCAAATTATATTAAGCTAAGGTGATTACTTCGGCTTAAATGAATGTAAAATAGGAATTGAAAGTCTCATTCATTTCAATGAAAGAGTTAAATGAGATTTTTAATTTCCCTGACTAATGACAATAGAATTTTTAAAATAGATTTTAAACATTGATTGGATTATTCTTTAAGACATCTGTTCAGAAGGAAACAAAAACAAAATCAAATATAGTTTTGATCTGATATTTTTTTTTCCTTAGTTGGAGTTTAACAATGCCAAAGGGCATTTTATTAAATTCATGAAATTTGGTTAATTTCATCCTAATAACAGTTCCTAACATTAAATATACTGATACTTTGTAAAGAAGGAAAGCATTTTAATGTTCATATTTCTTTATAATGGGCCTATTGTATTTTATTTCCTGTTTCTTATCTCTGTAAAAAGTTTCCAATAGCACTCATTCAAAGTAATATCCTATACAAGCAATGCAAGCTTTAAGTACAATCCTTTGTTCTATATAGAATTATACATACACATTCTATTTACTAAATGAACAGAAACTTCATTACACAGTTACAAGAGATTTTATTGCGTATGTGTATGTGTACACATACATATATACTCCTAACACTATAACTGCGCTTATTATTAGCTAAAAAAAAAAGAAGGAAGCTGGTATTTCCAGGCCACACACTTTGTTACACACAAATCAATTTCCAAGATTAAATTTGGTGAACCCTGAAAATTCAGGACATGCTGTGATGTGCAGTACTCATGAACCACTGAAGCTGCCTAAATCAGATGATGTCACTGCATCTGCTTCCTCCTATATAGGCTTACCAAATTCATGATCTGCAAAGTATAATCTTCAAAACAGGAGTGAAAGGAGTTGCTTAAAATAATAGCAGGTGAAAAGGAATGAAAGCCAAGATGCTGGAAGAGCCCTGAAATTACAGTATGTAACGAATTGCTTGCCGCAAATTACTTTTTCTCTTGTCCTTTAAGAAACAATGCCTGCATATGCTGTATTTTTTGCCTTTTTTCTCTCCCTTCAAAGTTAAGATGATGAGCTGGTCCTCCGTTTAATCTCTTCGGAGTCGGCGGGCTCCTTTCTCCTTTCCAGACGTCGAGACCATTTATCGAGTGAGATATACTAGGGCTTGAATATTTTATATTACAAGCCATTAAAGGAGGAAAAGTGGGGAAGATGGTGTGCAGAGAGAGCGCGGGGAGACCAACTGGGAGAACGCAAGCCAAGCGATGGGAGCCCCAGCCCGGGAAGGGGATTCCCTTCCCACCCACCTCCCAGTCCGGCTAAACAGTTCTGCAGGTGCTCGAGCACGGTTTGCATCCGTCCCGGGGACAGCGGCGTGGCCGCAGCCCCTTCCCGCCCTTCCCCAATCAGCTCTGCGCTTTAAGCCCGGCCGCCTTACTTTGAGCAGTGACGCAGCAGAGACTTACCTAGCGTCCCAGGGGCAGTCATGTTGGAGCTTGAGGCACTGGGCTGCTTTTGGCTGCTGGGCAAGGAGGTTTCACACCAGCCGGTCGGCCTGCTGTGGGAAGGAGGCAGAAGGGGGAGGAGCCGCCGCGGTCAGAAGCTGCCGCATACATCTCGCCCGGATGCCGCAGCTGCCGCGGCCGGCTAGAAAGCTAGCAGTTGGCCGGAGCGGGAGCAACGACGCCTGCTCCGTCAAGACGCTCCCCCACAACCTCCCGCTGCAGCCCCCACCCTCTCTTCTCCCAAGGGCTTGGCAACAGGCCAGGCCGGAGAGGTCTCCCATGCAAACATTTCGAGTCTTTCCGGATGCGGAGAGGCTCGTCCCATGCACCGCCGAATGCTGGCGGACACCAAAGATGCGCGCGCGCTCCTCTGGAGGACGTGCGTGCCACCCCTACAAGATGCTTTCCCCCAACATCCACCACCACCACCTCAAACGCTGAGAGGGTTAAGCCCGACTCTCGGCTTCCCTTCTCCTCCTCTGTCCACGCTACCTTGTCTCCCTCCACCCTCGTTGCTCTGCCCGGCTGGACCGCCTCTGCCGGCGTTGAAAGTCCATGCTCTGCCCGGCTGGACCGCCTCTGCCGGCGTTGAAAGTCCACCAAGCCCTCGCTCGCTCGCTCTCTGTTTCTCTTTCTCCAGGGTAACAATGCGGAAGGACGAGACTACCGCAGCCTCTAACCTCAGCCGGCGTTCCCCTCGGCGGGTTCTCTCTCGGGCAACCGCGTCTGGAGGGGGAGATGGCTGGCTCGTCTTCTCCTGCGACGCCAGCCGGAGCTCTTCTCCTTGAATCCGGCGCGTTGAAGAGGAAACTTCGAAGAACCGAAGCCCGCTCGGTCCCCCTGGTGAAAAGGCAAAAGAGAGGCGCGGCGGCGGCGACACGCCTTGCAGGAAAGAGTCTTGGCCAAGGCTGAGGGCGCCTCCTGGCTGGAGTTAAAGCGCAGGCCGACTGCAGGTGATCGCTGGGAGGCCAGGCTAGTGAGCGCTTCGCAACGGCCCTTGAAGAACGACGGGGGCCAGCCGCGGGAAAGCTTCCCTCTCACGCGAGATGTAGGGAAGGGGGGAAAGGCTGTGTGTGTGTGTGTGTGTGTGTGTGTGGAGAGGGGGTTCCTGGCCTAAAAGCGGCTCTCGGAGGGAAGACTTCGGACCGCATCCGGAGTCTGAGGGGTGTTCTTGCCACAATAAAGTGGAAACTGCGGTAGGACAAGTTGCTTAAAGAAAAGTTAGGGGGGGGGAAAGAAACTTACAGTGAAGGGTGCCCCAAAGGTGTTTTTTTCAAGAAGCAACTGGACTTTCTGTTTTTTCTTTGAAGACGTTTCTCTTCTTGTCCAAGAAGCTTCTTCAGCTCTGACTGGATGATCAGAACTGAAGAAGCTTCTTGAATGAGAAGCAAAACTAAACTTCTTCAAAGAAAAACCAGAAAATCCAGTTGCCTTTTTGAAAAAGCACCTTTGGGACAGCCGTGACTTGGATGACTGAGAATCTCTATAGACATTGAGGAAGGGAAGAGCTATGCAGCCATTGGCATCTCTCCAGATGAAATCAGTGGCACTTAAGGTTGTGCCACTGTGCTAGGATGGTCCATTATGCTCCATGGTTTTTGCTGTGAGGAAGGTGATCAAGGACAAGAAGATTAATTTGTGGTATGGATGCAGCAGTCCTCAGCTTAGGACCACAATTGAGCCCAACATTTCGGTTCTTAGGTGACATTTTTGTTTAATAAATGTTGTTCCATTTTACGACCTTTCTTGCCACACTTATTAAGTGAATCACTGCAGTTGATAAGTTAGTAATCTAGTTGTTAAGTGAATCTGGCTTCCCCATTGACTTTGTCACAAAAGATGATCCCATGACTCTGGGATACAAGCAATGGCCATAAATATAGACCAATGGCCAAGCCTCTGAATTTTGATCACATGATCACGGGGAGTCGTAACAGTGAAAAATGGTCCTAAGTCACATTTTTCAGTAACTTTGAACGGTCATTAAATGAACTGTTATAAGTCAAGGGCTACCTGTATGTGAAGATAATGTGATACCAATTACCAGGATCTGAAGACATAGAAAACTAATTCTGTACTACAGAGAGACAAAGGATTGTTCTATCTGGGTATTCCAATCCAAACCCAAAATAGTAAGGCCCAAAGTTTAATAACATGTATTGAAAACTTCCCTGAGCATTTTGGAGAGTGAGTATCAGAGGTTGGTTGCTCCCGGTTCGGCCCGGATCAGGCAAACTGGTAGTTGCGGCAGCGGGAGGCTCTGCCCGGATGCTTCTGCACATGTGCAGAAGCATCGTACATGCGCAGAAGTGTTGTGGGCGAGCGCACCCAAACCAGTACTAAAAAATTTGGCAACCCACCACTGGTGAGTATAGGTCATTTATAGATGACCTATACATTTAATCAATCAATCAATAAACATATTGAAGCCTAAGGTCTTAGAGTTCTATAGTTCTATAAATGGCAAGACAGTTAATTGGACTTTTTATACAATTGCCTTGTCGCGTTTAAAAATTGCAGTATTTAAGCATTTAAGAATCCTTATTTAGAAATAAAGTACAACTTCCAACTCCGTGGAAGGAAGCCACAGTTGAGATATTGTGATGTGAGATGAGAGAGAAAGAAAGAATGTATCCATTGTATTCTGATGTGAATTGCATCCCAATGGACCAAAAGATCTTTAAAGGGATGTGAGATCCTGAATAACAATGTTATTAGGAGAAAACTTAATGTGAAGATATCTGGGCAAAATGGGCATATATCTGCTTCAGTAAGATTAATATATTCATTCTAAATTATTGTTTTTTTCTCATTCTGTATTTCATCCAAGCTAATTTATCCCTCTGCTCATCAGTCCCAAATAAATATATTTTATGGTTTTATTTCACCACCTCTTTATGCCAAAGGGATTCGCCACGCTAGCATCAGTATTGTCAAATTGAAAAAATAAATTAATGAGTCAACATAAATGCTCGCTGAATATGTAAAATAAATCCCGTAGGAACAGAGTGACGGCATTGGCACATATTAGAACAGAAACAGCAAATGTGAGACTTACTGGAGTCACAGATCAATTTGACAGATAATTTTTTTTGTTTTGTTTGATTTAATATGTGATATATATATGAATACAATCATTGTTATTTATTCAGTGGCCAACATTAAATAAATCACTGCTTAGTACAATGTAAAAAACTAGGTTGGATTCTTGCAAAGGCCATAGTTTTTTTTTAAAAAAATATATGGTTAACTAAAATAACCTTGACTAAAATATAAAAAAGCAAAGATAAACTAATAACATGAAGTAATTTTATATAAGGTTGAATAACTTGTAACAAACTGCTGTCCCAGTCTACTCTCTCCTACTAAATCCCACAAAACTATATTTCCTAAAAAGAGTGACTTTCCTTTCTGTGAATAAAAGTTTTAATTTTAAAACTTCATCCTTGGTTTCCAGGTTGATGTTAACCAAACTACATAACCTGCCAATATTTCTATATTAATCTGGGACAAGGTTCAATATTGTACTACTTAGATCGATTTCCCCCTGATGAAAATAGAATAAATCATTTTATTTTAAATCAGTAAGTAAGTTTTATATATAAATGGAAAATATATTGAAGATTTACTTGCTATAACATGCTGAACATACCTCCTTTTCATCACCAACTAATCTTATATTTCCCCACTGTAGAGTATGGCCAGGACCCAAACAGAAGTTCATTCAGGAGCCTTTTCCCCATTTGAAAAGCTGGCCCCAGTGTCATATTGCAAACTATTTTGGAAACTCGCATTAAAAGAAGCTTGCCAGGAATCTTGCATTGAAATCTCTCTTGATTGGTGAAAGTAACTTGGATTCTGGTCCATTTTTTCAAAAAAAAAATGCTTCAATAGCAAAAAAAACAAAACTCAATAATTTCCATCATAACATAGAATAAGCACATAAGCAGTAATCTGATCAGTACTCTCACCCATTTAGTCAAGGAATTTGTTCCCAAAATGGCCAACTGACTGCATAAGGAAATCTAATAGATCTTCCAGCAGATATCCTTCCCTACCATCAAGTTTAACAGCATTGATCTCCATGACTTCTACAAATTGACCCCTGTCTTGAAGCCAGCCAGCTGGTAGCCTCCATCCACTCTCAAGGAGAGCAAATTCCAAACTTTAATTACATGTTGTTGTTCTTGAAAAAAAACCTTTTCTATGGCCTGATTCAGGATCAGTTTCATTGGGTGATGGGAAGGGGAAAATAACTTGTTCACACCATGCGTAATTTTGTGCACCTCAAGCTTGTCTCCTCTCAGTTGTATCCTGTCAGCCCTTGAAAATAGTCTAGAAAAAAATACTCAGAAACCATAAGTATTAAGTCTACCTTTATTGCAAGGTTATACTACCTTTATTGCAAGGTTATAGTAACAAAATCTTGCAAGTACGAAAGTATTTATCCCCTCCTTTATTTTGACTTTGCAGAAAACTATAGAGGGTCCTTTTGGTTGCCCCTCTTCTCTCTTGTGGACAGCGATATATTTTGTCTGTCCTAGTCCAGGTTTTGGCTCCTCCACTTCCTGTCTCCCAAGGTTATTTTCACAACCCATTACACCTTTTCTCTAGACTAAAAAACCTCAAATGTCTTCATCTTTCCTTAAGGGAAGCTGCTCCATTATCCCCATTCCCCTTATCATTTTACTGTAGCTGACTTCCTCTGAGCTAAACATTCTCTAGCTGTGCTATACCCTTATTGACAGTATATCTGGAGAACTCATGCACTTAATAAATATTATTCAATAGGCACCATGCTCTCTACTTCTGATAGGTCATAAACTTTATATAAACAGGTCATATAAGAATTGTAAACAAAAGTCACAAGCCGTGTAAACTAGTCAAAAGGCTACATTTCTCATGTCACATTTGTTTAAAACATGTATGGCCCCGCGTTTATTTTAACCAAAACATTTATTTTGCTGTCATCGTATTTGCCATGACCTTGCTAATAATATGTAAACAGCAGGCATGCATGGGATAAAATCTGTGCAATCATATAGATTTTAAATTATTAGTTTTAAATCTCAGAGATTTCCTTGTATTTACTACATTCCAGAGTTTGAAGAAAGGAAGAAAGCAAAATAAATGTTTTGGTTAAAATAAACGCGGGGCCATACATGTTTTAAACAAATGTG